GATTCAACAACCTTGTTGCATCATTGCATCGTGTTTTTTCAACAGACAGCGTGAGCTATTAGGGTTCTTACTTCAAGGAGCTGCGTGTGTGCGTTTTCGAGCGTGGGTGCTGGTGCCGCTGAAGGGTGCCGCTGTTGTTCCAGTGTAGGAAGAGCTGCGTGTTTGCGCGCTCGAGCTTGGGCGCTGGTGCCGCCGCAGGATGTGCTGGGGAGCTTGGGTGCTGGCGCGTTGCAGAGTGCCGCTGCTGTGTGCGCTTGAGAGCTTGGGTGCTGGTGCCGCTGCAGGGCGCTGCTGTGTGCACTTTGGATCTTAGGCATGTGGCCATGTGCACTTTGGAGCTTGGGTGCTTCTGGGCTTGGCATGGTGCTTGGGCTGGGATGTACTGCCTTGGACCTCGCCTGGACCTCGCCCGGGCCTCGCCTAGAACCACCATATCCTCCTGCTGCTTGTATGCTTGTGCGCTGCTTGCCTTGTGCAGCTTGCATGCTTGTGTGCTGCTTGTCTGCTGCTGCTTGTGCTGCTGCTGCTGCTGCTGCTTGTGCTGCTTGTGCTTGTATTTCGTTTGGGGTTTTGAAGCATCTGTGAGCTAGAGCTCCTTGCTGCTTCCTTCGGCACCAATGGCGCAGGGCAGTGGTGACTGTGACATGATTGTCACACCTGAGAAGAAACACCTGGCTGCTGCTATTGCTGTTGTTGTGGTGGTGGTGGTGGTGGCTGCTGCTGCTGCTTGTTTGCTGCTTGTTTGCTGCTGCTGCTGCTGCTGCTGCTGCTGCTGCTGCTTGTTTGCTGCTTGTTTGCTGCTGCTGCTGCTGCTGCTGCTTGTTTGCTGCTGCTGCTGCTGCTGCTGCTTGTTAGCTGCTGCTGCTTGTTTGCTGCTGCTGCTGCTGCTGCTGCTGCTTGCGCTGCTTGTTTGCTGCTTGTTTGCTGCTGCTGGTTTGCTGCTGGTTTGCTGCTGGCTTGCTGCTGGTGTGCTGCTGGTTTGCTGCCTGTTTGCTGCTTGTTTGCTGCTTGTTTGCTGCTGGCTTGCTGCTGGTTTGCTGCTGGTTTGCTCCTGGTTTGCTCCTGGTTTGCTGCTTGTTAACTGCTGCTGCTGCTGCTGCTGCTGCTGCTCCTGCGTGTTAACTGCTGCTGCTGCTGCTTGTTAACTGCTGCTGCTGCTGCTGCTGCTGCTTGTTAGCTCCTGCTGGTGTGCTGCTGCTATTGCTGTTGCTGTTGCTGTTGTTGTTGTTGTTGTGGTGTTGGTGGTGGTGGTAGCTGCTGCTGCTGCTGCTGCTGCTGCTGGTGCTGCTGGTGTAAATGCCTACTGCTGCTGCTTCCGCAAAGGAAATGGAATAATTTCGTATAAAACCAACACATTTTTCAATCACTAAAGCGCCTTGTAAACAGGAACCTGATGTGACCCTGATGTGACCCCGTCGCATCGGGCCCCCCCTTGCAGATTAACAGTTTTCCAGTCACCTGATGTGACTAATATTGTTGACAGTAGCTTTTCGCAAGCTGTACCCAGCCCACTTCTTCACGAGTTTCCAGTTTCCTATGGTCGAAGATATTGTCATGCAATGCTGCCCCGTTCAATGCATTTCCAGTTTGGCTGTACAACAGGCACTATGAGACCGATGGGCCCTTGGGCCCACATTTGGCCGATGCTCAAGTCCGCCAGACTCTCCGTACTGCCGAAGGCCAGCAAGTGGGTGCACTGAACCAGCGTGCAGCACTTCCGCCGCTGCTATCCTATGACCTCAGCCCGGATGAGCACTTCGCCCAAGCGTTGGAGCGAGGCCGCGATTTGCTACCCACCGAGCTACCAGCAGTGCTGGACCTGGACCTAGCATTTGCCGCTGACTGCCATACTCGTTACCGAGGCCGTTTACGAGATCTTCGCCGTACAGCAGTGGGGGCACTGCGGGAGCTCCATCGGCGCTGGTGTGCCGTAGGGCGACATCTGCGGCAATTTCAACCCATCGCCTTGCAGGCTACCACGGCCACTCGGGACCTCGGCTTCGTCGCACTATTGATTTTGCTGACTTCATGGCCGGATGTCACATACCCATTCGGGCTCATTGAAGGCCTCCCAGCGGTGGGCTACGCGCCGTGCTACGGAGTCTTTCCATCTCAACCTGCTGATCGCATTACTCTCACAGAGGTACTGTCGGGATGCGATGCGCACAATCACCAGATCTTGTCCACCCTCAAGCCGGGCAAAGATGATCAGTTCCTGCTGGAACAGTCTACGAAGGATGCAGCACGAGGATTCTGTACCCCCCCTTTGACACTGGCACAGTTGCGTCAGCAGCTGCATGGGCAGCCGTACCGTTTGATCCCACGCTGTGTGATTACCCAATCCTCGGGTAAGCAGCGTATTATCGACAATGCCGATGCCGGCGGCCAGACCCTGCGGTCATCCGACGCCAATAAGCTGGTGCTCTGCTCGCCCCTCAGACCGGCCGTCAAGTCCTACGCCACATGAGCCCACCCGAGCTAGCCCAAGCGGCGGCTACTGACACCTGGGAATCAGGTGGGGAAGATTGGCCGGATGCCTATCGGCACAGTCCCATGGGGGTCAACGAAACGCGAGGATGCGTAGTTTCCTTCTGGCATCACGAATGGGCGGCTCCAGCCTTCCAAGTCTATGCTGGGCTTCTTTTTGGTCTTCCTCTTGCCGTGACCTCGTTTAACCGATACAGCCGGCTTGTGGAAGCCCTCGGGCGGCGTTTGTGCTACGTCCTGGTATCGCTCTACTTTGACGATGCTTCAATCCAAGACTGGTCTTCGAGCCGGGGGTCGGCTCAATGGGCTTTTGGTGTCTTAAACCAACTTCTGGGCACCCCCTTCGCGGAGGAGAAGCGCCAGGCTATGAACCCCAAAGGCTTATTTTTAGGCCTGGACCATGATCTTTCTGCCACCCTTTCAGGAGGCTACGTCTCTTTTTGGGCGAGGGAACGCCTGGAATCCAAGTTGAAGGCCATTATCCAGGAATGCCGTGAGACACACACTCTCAAACCTGGTGTTGCGGCCAAGCTGTACGGACTAGCCAACTTCTTCGAACAGGGCGTCTACGGACGGATTGGATGTGGAGGCCTCCACGCCATTAAGGAGCGCCAACTTGTCCGAGGTGATCAGTTGCCTCCCGCAATTGAACAATGCTTCCAAATTCTTGAAGCCGTGATCTCTACCCATCCAGAGCGTGAACTTGATGTCTGGCCACGACACCACGAACGCTTTGTTGCAGCGTCCGACGCTGCCTTGGAGACCAGGTGAAGGCACGGGTGGTTTTCTCCTTGTCTTCTTCCACGAGGACGCAGAGCTCCGGCTTGGGTTTGTGTCTCACCTCCCCTCATCCATCTATGACCTTTGGACGCCAGGGGATGCCAAGATAGCACAGCTAGAGTTATTGCAGGTTCTCATTGCGTTGACTACCACGCCTGAGCGATTCCGTAATCGCCGCGGAACATGGTACATTGACAACACTGCTGCTTTGATGGCGCTCATCAAAGGCAGATCAGACAGTCCTGACCTCGAACATATGAGTCACATGATCCATATCTTTCTGTTTTCACTTCGATGCTGGATTTACTTTGAGTGGATCCCCTCCAAGAGTAGTTGGAGTGACGCGATTTCCCGTGATGGACACGCAGATAGATGGCACCACGACCAGGGTTTCACTAGTCGAGTGGCCACATTTTTCGAACCGCTCTGGTATTTTCCCTTTTCCGTCACTCTGCGAGTCGCTCTCTTTCTTTAAAGTGCGTTGGGAGAAATGCATTGGGTAGATACATCGCTATGGATACGTCTTGGTGGACGGGTCTCCATAGATGGGTATCTAAGCTTCATCCAGGAATGGATGTGTGGC